TTTTCTTCAAACTTTTCATAAAACACCTCAATCAGCATGTAAAATTTAAATATAGGTAAGTACCAATTATAATATACAGTATTTATATAGATATTTACATATTTATATAAACTTTAGTATTATTCGTATTATATTATATTATCACTGATAATTTATCAGTTATTACTTATTCATATTTTGTAAAAAGAATTATTTAAAATTAACCAGAAATAGGTATTATGTTTGTTATTTATTTCTAAAATCTTTAATTTTTGATTTCCTACGTAGTTGGCTTGTCACAGCAACTAATACGAACTATAGCTATTGTTTGAAATTTTGAATACCTTTCAGAATATCKACAAAAACGAAAAGTTGGACAGTGAACGGATTAATATAAATAGCTGTTGTGTCGCACTCGAGATGGAAGGGGGTGGAATAAGCATATCAGTYTTTTACGAATTAAATGTGACATGGTTATTGGTAAAAAACTATTGTCTATTATTTGCCGATACAATTAATGCAGTAGACAGTCATCGCTTAAATTGTAAGTTGATACTTTTTACATAATATTATAATATATAAGTGGATAAGTATAAATTAGTATTTATTTATTTGGGTAGACACAAGCTCATATTATTATGCCTCATCGAGTAGATAGTAGAGAGTATACCGGCTACATTATTGTAGTGGATACCACTTGTTGTGCGCGAGAAAGTCGTTACACATATTATTGTTATATTACCTATATTGTATATTGATAATCATTATAATTCGTCAATATATATATATATATATATGTATAAATAGCGATGTTTGATACAATAAAAAAAGATATTTTAATAAACAAAATATAATATGTAGGTAATATATAATGAAGAAAAAGTTAACAAACAATTTGAATGTAATAATTATGTATAAATATATCACTATTATAGTGTTATTAATCGGTTACGGTGAAAATACATATTATAGGTATACGATATATAATTACCTATAGCAATAGAATAGTATTATATTGTTGCCTACAATTTTTGGTGTTATTATTTAGTTCGCGTGACGCTCCATGAGAAACAAAACAAAAAAAATAATAATAATAGTTTTAACCAATTTTCCAAAGAAAAATAATGATGGTGGCGATGATGACGATGATAGAACGTTCGTGTCGAATTTGCGATTTCACGAGATCAACGGGTTCGTCCGCACTGCAGCCACTACCCATGAGCGGATGATTTTTCGAATCGAAAATGGTCGGCGTAGCGGCAGATGAGGCACGTTATAAGTATGGAAAACCGTTTTTGGTCATCAACCATGCCAACCGCTACCGCATGCGGTAATCGTTTTTCCTTACACGGTTCACCGAGTAATAACTCGAAAAGAGCGTACAGCAGAGTGGGAACTATATACAAGTTTGTTATTATACATTTTTTTTCTACTCTAAAGAAAAGAAAACAGCAATCGATTTGTGTCATCGGTAGCCAGTGGACTGTGAAGGACATCCGTAGGTTCCACAACAGTAGAWGACAMGTATAHAAATTTTATTTTTTACTTATGTTTTATGTATAAATATAGTCCATATTAAAATATTAAGAGACATAATCACGATCACAGACAGAATTCGGCATTCGGTTGBTCATTATCAAACCTATATACAATATATTATAAAATGCAAAACCACAACATTGTAGGTATCTTCCATTTACAGTTAAATGTACAAAAATATAATATTATTATACAATGTACACAATAAGACACATTTGTATATCTAATATTATGTATTTTTTTTTTTTACCAACATTTAGAAAGTATTCGTACCTACATTACGAATTTATTTTATTAGTTTAATTAACTTTAATTTACATATTATATTATTAGTTAGTCCAAATATATAAATTACAATATACTTACAATTCATGATATACTATGTATCACACAGTTTCTGATAAGAATATTCTTGAAATTTAAGTGCACATTTTTATACATAGTTAAAAAAAATGATTTTAAAAAGTAATATGATATATGGTATTATTATGAGCATAATCCAGAATATACTTCCACGATATTATTCAAAAAGTAAAATTACAACCATGCACATTGAATTACAATAGATATCTTTTTTTTAATTTTTTTTTTTTGAGAAACTGACTCATAATAATTATTGTACAAATTTGTATTTAGAACACAATAAGTAAAATTTAACATCATCACAATTTCCAATAAATGAATTGTTTGATTAATTTAAAAGACATACGATGCATTTTTAAATCTATGTACTACGCATATTATGACGTAAGAATATGATGCAAAATACAAATTTGATAATTTAACTATTTTATAAGTATAACCTATTCTGTGCATATAAACTATAAAATAAATATTGTATACAACACATTATATGTACATATAGATGTATAACTTACGCATTACTCTAATCATAATTTATATAGTACCTATATATGGCTATATGGATGTATGCACTATACGCTAAGCAAAAACATATCTTTACATCATTATACATCACTGCAAATTGATTATTCAAAACACAATTAGTACTTACATAATATGCGAAACAATCTACAATTGATTATTTATCATTCAAATTTATAAGCATCACGTAAGTGTCAATATCAAGTCGGCAAGTCATATATGGTACAAATCTTTATTAAAAAATAAATAAAACAAAATATAGAAAATGTGAAAATTCTGATACAATTTGAATAGAGGTTGGTATATTAATTATATAAGTTCAGCATACTGATGGATAAAAGTTGATTATTAACAAATATTTATTTAGAAGCCACACACACGGTTATAATGATTAATGACTAATTTCTAGTGCTATTTAATGATATTTTCTAATGATTTATAAACTATAAGTAARTTTGAAAAATATCGAAAAATTCTACCAGAGAATAGAAATACTGTAGTTATATTTAAATTTAATAATAGGTGAATTTACTTAACGCACGAAACAGAACGTTAACTTCCGAATATAAATCTACATTTTRCTATGCTACTCGTTTGTAAATWAGTGACTACAAAACAAATGTGGCGTCCTCTTAACGATTAATAAGATTCAAAAACGAATTAATTTAAAATTATAAGCATTTCATTTCATTTTTTATTATTTATATTTATAAAGAAACAAATTGACTTTCTAAATATTAGTTTTGTATCACTTTACCAATCAATTAGGCTCATACTAAGGTTAATCTTCAGGGAAACATAATGTGTATCATAATTTATTATGTCAAAAATATTCTGATAGTTTGGTTTTGAATACTTAAAATATCCATTAAAGATCAGTACAATTCTATAATTAAGAAATATTATAAACCATATTCTTGATTAACKGAATTATATTATAATTATGGTAATATTACGGTAATGACAGTAAATGTATTAAAAATTAATTCTATATAGTACGAAAAAAACTATTAAATATTTTTATCATAAGTTAAGTAAACAGTCAGATAACTTATCAAAGGTTATAATAAACATAATATCTAAGTCATTTATAAAATTCACTACATTAATAATATACATAATAAACTCTTTCAAAAATAAATCCTTAATTTTCAGCTGAATATGTWAACACATTTATTAACTGCTATAATGACCTAAACATATTTTTTCTATTATTTGATACGCTGATTATACAGACATCTACATACATACACAATATTTTTAAATTTTGACATTTAAACTGATGGATAGTAAAAAGTTTCGGTTGATTATATTCAATTAAACGTGGCATATTTTTTTGGTTTTCAATTGCAATGGATAGTTTACGCTGACACGCACATCTATAGGCCTAGCCGTGATTTAGCATAGATGAAGGAAAACACGGGCGTTACACTATAATTCATGGAAATCATCAGGAAATAAGGAAATCTATTCTCGGCCATTGTCAAGCCGTTACAATACTGTTGCTATTATTATTATGTTTCCTATTGATAAACAACATAGATTCTATGGACCATTTCCTCGTCCAGCGGGAGTGTGATGCAAAAGAAAGTGGAGAAAATACAGCAAAGCGATGGAAATATTCGAATATATAATGTTATAAAAATGAAAAAAGTTAATAGCACTTTCTATTTGAATTCATTRTCAAAGCACTTATAGTTTCCAAGTCATTATTATAAAATCTATATAGATCTAGTTTTACAGCCTTAGCTATATAAGTACAAGTACCTAATAATGATATAAGTAATACGTACATACTATTATTGTAAGCATAATAAACAGTGTATTCTCTTAAGAGATATACGATATACGATAGGTAGGTACTTCGAGTTTTTRGATTCTTTTTAAATATAAAATAATTCAACAAACCACAAAAATTAGTACAATTATACCTATTTAACTACTCTAGATATTTTATTATAATTTGGAAATCATACAGTTAGATATAGGTAAACTATTAACGATATTATATGCGTGTTTTTCTTTTTATCTTTACTTTTAATACATTTCTAATWATGATTAAGGTACCTACTTAAAAATTAACTAAAGATGCTCATAAGCTATACATAACTGTAATATATAATACATACGAGCACTATGTAATTTTATCTAAAACTTCTCAGAAACCTTGACTACCTACAACCTACACTTAACGCAATTTTTAATAAAAGAATCATATTATAATACATTTTGACAATATTTTAAGATTTTATAATGTATTAAAACGTATCACAAGGTTAGGTTTACCAATGTRCTACTAAATTTTATTATTATAGATAAATTATGTAGGAATATCTAACACCTATTGGCTATTAATAATTATAAACAGGAAACAAATTTGTATAATATTTAGTGATCATTAATTTTATTATTATTATTTTTTTTCTTTTAATAAACACCTTTTTTAGTTTATAGCCATTTTAAATTAAAAAGTCAATGATCGATGAATACTATAAATTTATGATAAATATTATAATTATTACTTTCGAATTCAAAATAATAATTTGAATCAGAGTGCGTAGTGATGAGGATATAATACGGCAAGAGTAACTATTATAATACTCAGTACCTAGTTTTTGCGTCTTATCAGTAGGTACATTTTTTTTTTTTAAATGTTAAAAACTTATTTTCATTATGATCACCAGAGGACTGAAATTATTGTTTGTCACGTGCGCATATGCCGTATTTTAGAAAATATAAACGWAAAGCAGTGTATAATACTCACTTAAAATTCCAATTGTCATCATATTGTGTTCTTGTATTTCAAGACTTTGTTCTGTTATTGTAAATGTATATTTCCAGTCATGTTACTGTAATGCACCATTACGTAAAGCCAGCGTTCGATAAAATTCCAAATTACTGGGCGATAAGTATATCCTTTGAAAATAACACAACTCGTAGCCCTGAAATAAAATAAATTATATTATCAGCCAGGTTCATATTTTTTATTGTATTTATTCAATTACTTAATTAATATATCTTATAGTAGTATTATCTCATAAATTCTAACAAAGTAAAATTAGTTGGACCGGGCCTGCCTATATATATATATATATATTGTATGGTCAAGAAGTGGCTGTAATGTCGTGTACGTTATCTACCAAACTTCATTTTAAGCAGTACACAATCTACCCAAAAATATTTCTTTTTGATTTATGACTAAATGATTTTTGTAATTTCTTGAATATTTCTTCGATCAGCACAAGATACAATTATAGACAGTATTATTACTTATRCCTACATGTTTTTCTATGTAACACAATAATGTAATGTTCTATCACTTATCAATAATATTTTACCTTTTCAAAAATTAATGGTTAGGTGTAAAGAACGAATTATTTAAAACTGTGACGAAAGCGTAAGAAAATAGACGTTTTATGTTGCTTGGTAATTCTTCTAGCTAACAGTTTATTTTGTAATTTAAAAGTTTGGACAATAGGTAACTTTTTTACAGCCTGTATTTGAGGAAGCGAGGACCAACAAACAAGTGTACAAAAAAAAATAAATAGTTATTACAACATATACCTATTTTATTTATATTTGAATTTTGAATGTATATTAAATATCAATTTTCTCATACATTAAACATAATTAATTGATACGCCCATTAATTTGGTAATAAACCAGACACCCGATTAGTTATGGAGTGCAAACTTTATRATTGAGAAGTATATTCAAGATTATTTAAATAGTTCTAATTTTAACAAGTAGTACACTACCACTAGTTTCAGTCAGCCAGTTCACTAAAAATAACCTACTGGAGTATTTTTTGGCCAGCGATGTGGCTCAATTCCAAAGATATGTTATAAGTTTGGATAAATTACGAAGAGAAAAAATTTATTTGAATTATATCTATACCAATAACTATATATTTTAAAAGGTACCGCTTTTTATGTAAAAACATTTTTCCTCTAAATTGTCTCCCTTCATCAAGACCATTTTATTTAAAAATTAGTTGAGGCTTTTATTATTTTATTTAGCTACATGATTTTATTTTGATTACCTACACAATGGACGATGTTGTTGAAGTGTTTAACGTCGTTCTTTTTGCATAAAATCAGTTGAAATAAACAGCATTGCCCCAGATAAGTAAAGTAAACAATTCCAAATCTTTATACTATRCTAATAACAGCGATGCACAAAAAACTGGACTTAACTAAATAAATAAAATAGAGAAATATAACAAATAAATGAATTTCAAAATACTTTAAAAATTGTTTGTTTTCTATAAACTATTAAGACGCACGACAGTCATTTAAACGTTATTAATTAAATACACTTTAACAATTTATAATAGTTGAATGAAATTACATTATCCACTTATCAGGTATGAATTAATTAAATACATACCTATAATATAACTTAACTATACACTCTTTAGGTAATAATATTATTATTTTATACATGTTTCGGAAGTTCTTGATTAATATGCTTAAATAACGCTAAATAATTAGTGGAGTCTAAAGTCTGATTGAAATAGGTAGTAGATACCTATGTACTATGTTTATAATAATAATAATAATAATAATAATAGTAACAACATGATACAAATTAATATAAAAAAAATCTTAATGAGTTTTTGATTCTCCCTTATAAAGCTGGGCTTGTACTAAAGAGAAATAGTTCAAAAAATATATACGTATCTACGTATTTATTAAAGCATTTATTATGTAAATTAAAATTTTATAAATACATAATAAATGCAATATTTCTACCTATCYTYTGTAAACCATCAAAAATATCACTGATAATAGATATTAAGACATTATAGGTAAGTAATAATTAAATAGTGGATAAATTTAAGTATGAATTAACTAATTTAACACAAATAACATTTTTTTTTTGTTTTATGCATTGAATAAATGCGCTCTCTATATTCTACACTAGTTTATTAACAGTAATAATAAATTTAATTATTAAAAYAATAAATATAATAATAATTGATTCGTTGCAGCAGAATACTAACGATCTAAAATAAATTAAATAGATTCTGCAGTACCTATATGTTATTGAAAAATAAAAACGAAWTGAATTGCAGAATAATTTTAGTGGTTAAAATACTAAATTAATATTTTATTACTAACAAAATAAATAAGTGCATGGATTTCAGTCAATTTTGTTCAGTTGCCTAAGATGGTATATACAATATTTTAAACGCATCCAGGCGCTTAGTATTACCTTGTCATTTGACACGCGTATACTAGTGGACCGTTAAGTAAAAATGAGTAAATAATTGAGCAGGTACKAATTTTTTTAACATGGTACTCTGATTCTTTCGTAACATTTGAATACACTTCCCATGAAGTATGAACAGATATATTACTGTAAGCCATTGCTACACTTTTAACTGTTGAAACCAAATTATCGCTGATGTATTTTATTTCGATTGAATGGGATATCAGCGATAACAAAACAAAAACAAAAAAAATAATAATATATACATGACATAATTGTGTTCTCTTTTTGTCTTATACTTCTATTTAATCTTCTGATATTAAATGCATTTTTRTATTAATATTTCTAAAACGAGTAAATTATTATTCTGCTATCAAAGGTTTAACGCAGTTTACTGTAAATTGTTCTATAATGATAGGTACCTATTTAGTTAACTGGCTCACGTGCATGTTTTTTAAATATATAGATTTCTGCAAAGATTTTTTCATGGATTTCTATTGCAKTTGTAAGTTATAACATTGATTATAATTTATAAATACTTATAATGAATGTTTAATGKTTATTATACGTATTAGCCATTAAGTACATAATATACCTACGGTTCATTAATACAATGATAGCGTGTGGAATAGAACTTTGCGCTGGCCTGATTTTTAAAGCTTTAAAGCCCAAGCCCGTCAAATATTTTTTTTTCATACATTTAGCTCAGCTCGACCTGATTTATTTTAGTTAAATAAGTGGTTCGACCCAACCTTACCTTGTTTTCACTTAAAATTCCCGGTCCAGSCCAGACTAAGTGCATATACCGAGGCCCAGGCCACGCAGCAGCGCTCTAGTGTGGAATCAAACTGCAGAAACTAGTGTCCCGTCAAGTTATATTTATCGCGATCACGTAAATAATTTACAAATAAATTATACAGGTTAACCTATAAGCTATAACATTGAACTTAACAGAGGCCTCTTAATTTAAAAAAAAAGTTTTATGTTAAGGAAGTGTAATTGGAAATTATGGGCTGCTCCGCATAAATAGTTGTCGATTGGTATATTATTATTTATTATCTAAAACCATTACAGCGTTTTTAATAAAATTGTACACTTCGTTGTTAAGTTTTCGTAAAAGCAAAATTCAGTTAGAATAAGCCTCACATTTATAGGTGAACTCCGCATGTAAACATATTATTGATCCATTTTTAATCATTATAGGAAAATGTGTAAGAAACTGAAACTGAAGGTATGACCGATATGTAACCTAAAACAAATTTACTAACGCTGGGCTTTAATTTAATATTTTTTATCGGGTGAACCTTGCCATATATAATATAATTATTACTTTATTGATAGTTTTCTTGATGAAAATCTAATGATGTGATATGTGAAGCTTGAACAGACATAAAACGCTATCTCATTTATCCCATTTTTTTCATTTTTTAAATAATAATGGGTATCTATATTTTTATAATAATAAAAATAATATATAGACCACCTATTGTATTGAAAATATATTGGGTACTACGCGTCCAAGCGACCTTGAAAATACATGATCCACTATAAAAATACGTAAAAAATATTAACTTTGAAGATTACATATTTGTCATTGAGTACAGGCATAGAGGCAGAATTAATTTTAGTTCTTTAAGTTTGACAGGAAACAAAACAGTGGAATATTAATTCAGGAAATTTATCTATAGACAATAAAATGACGAATGACGGTATTTATTATACTGTCTAGAGACCGTATTAGTAGGTAATATAGGTATTTATCATATAATGCAATAAATRCCTATAATATTGTAATATGTTATTTTTACTCGATATACACTACAGAACATCAAATAGAATAAGTGTGCCAAACACATGAAAACTAAATAAAATTTTAGATAGGTAGGTGCTGTATGCGTTAATAGGCACGGGAAGTAAAACATACAAAATACAAACATCTATAAAAAAAACTTCCCAGAAAAAAAGTTATTCACTGGTTCTATACTAAACATTTTTTTACTTAAAAATCAATTTATCAATTCCCAGTGACTAGAAATCGAGATGCATTATTGGTTAAAAAAATAGGGCAATGCCTATATATCTAGGTGCAATGGTGCAATGATTTTTTTTATTATTGATAAAAAACAAGAGAAACCATATTTCTTAATTTTACAATATATAGATAGAATTGTATTATTTGTTGATTTATACAACTATTTTTAAATACTATTAAGCGGGCTCAACCTTCAACGAATCACTTAATATTCAATATATAATATAAAATAATAAATATACACCCGTAATTTCTGTTAAAATCATTTATTTTTTAACAATTTGAACTATATAGTATAGTTTGTTATATTTACATATACACATAACAATATGTCCATAATTTCAAATACAAATTTTAATTAACCAAGAAGCTAAAATTAGTATAAGTATGCATCATAAGTACTTACGATCATTTATATTATACCTATAAGTATAAATGTATATTAATATATTTTTACCTACCTAAAATATTTCGGATTACTAAGTTATAAATTTAAATTTATAATAAACAATTTAAAAATAATTGTAAACAAACACATAATAATTTATCACATCTGGTATCAACTGCAATATTTTATTAAATATAATACAAAATAGGTATATTATTGGTACCTATGTATAAAAATATAAAAGTCATTGACCTTGTACTTGCAGAATGCAGACGCTAACAAAAAATACGAGCCTAAAAGGCTATAGTAGTACTGTAGTATARTGTTGGGTGGGGGTTGGCACAACGGAAATTTGCGACCACTTTTGCCAAATGGACAACAGAATGATTTTAATCGACAAAAACAGCTGCTGCAGAAAAAGGAAAAARATATGCCTCTTGTCCATTATGGCCGTTTGCAATGAACACACACAATATTATTATTATAATATACCTGGTGGTTGGAAAGCGAGAGGGACAGATGGTCGGAAATCGCGTGTGTCTATACAGTGAGAAGTACAACAGCCGAGGGCACACAAAAGAGTTCCCCACGTCACACCAGCATACCACTACCCGAGTTATTATAATACACGAAATCCAAACGTCCCTTCGACTCTCACTCTTATATTATTAAACTCCCGCGATGGTGGCAAACATCGTGTTTGTAATAATATAATACACGTCATGTTTTTTAAAGCACAAAGACGCGGGGGAATAAATAAGACGTTTATTATAATATCGTCTTATCGATTATAGAGTTTAAAAAACTTAATGAAATTTATTCCGTTGAGCATGTGATGTGATGTTTAAGATATATTTTTTATTTACCCACTGGGAAACTGTGCCGCCGATACAGAAATAAGCTGACGATGTCACCACCATGCATAATAGCTTAGAATTATATATTTATATAGGACATCATAGGGTATATTTTGTAATGTGTCTATATATTTATTATTTAATAAACACTTAACAATATACCTCATAATATTCAACATTTAAATCAATACCATTAACTCTCATTTAAATATGAATAATGATTAAAATGCAGAATTGACTAGATGAATAAAAATTATACCTAAATAGAAAATGTTTAAAATAATGAAATATTATTTTTTTTTTTAAGAAATATGGCTTCAACAACTTAGGTTATTAGCCTGACAATGAAATATTCTGTTTTTATTTTTATWTAAAGAAAAACAATACCTCTAGTATAAAATTTAAGCTACAAAATTACCATCGTAAAAGAAAGGAATCGATTACTTAATGATTGTTAAGCAGTTTTTATAGTTATAAAGTAAATTGAATTCAATATTCAGATGAATATTCGACATTTTAATACTAAATAATACCTGTCCTACTGGCTACTTATAATTTGTATTGCTTTAGTTTCGCTGAGGCTTGATGATWCGAGATTTTATATTCACAAAATAACTAACGGCAGTTAATGAATTCAAAATAAACTAGTATTTTATTGTCTATAACTTGTTATGAATTGTAAGTCATAGAACGACAGTTGACAAATAAAAATAATAATTCAATTATTTTAATAAATATTTATTTTAAAATCTACAAATATTTATAGCCACAGCCACCGAAAAATCTTCATTAATTGTTGATGTTAACTCAACATGATAATTTAATAATATACAATAATGTAACAGTCTAACACATAGGATTAAACATTAAATAAATATATTTAAATACAAATCTTGTTTATTAGTTCATATTAAGCTTCGATTAAATTAAAAAGTAATCGATTATAATGAATTAAACCCCTAATTAAACCTTAATTATGTTGTAATTGTTATAATTAGTATGAAAATTAAACACTAAATAGGTATACCATAGTACCAGGTCCTATACAATATGTCTTATAAATTTACCAGTTACCCACGCTCCATTTACTTGTAAAATGATTCTAGCTTTTCAAATATATCAAATATAAAACAAAATGATTCTAGTATAACTTATTAAGTAGGTAATAAGTACCTATGTGACTAAAGTAAACGTCCACATTTTACGAGAATTTATGTCTCGTAGATTAAGATTATAGTTCACAAATATCCGTGATAGTGGGTACGTAATGCCCGAAACCCTCATTAATTGGTTGACACAAGGGTAACCCTTATGGTTTAAATTGATTTAAAAATTTTCAATGAAAATAAGCCTTTTTAAATAATTCATCCGGTATGAAATCATTTTTATAATAAACATAATAAGGAGTTTCGAGAGGTGATTTTCCGCCTTTATCTAACACTCGCATCGTAGGAATTTAGATATGATTTCATTAAACATATCAACTAATTTGGTAGACTAATAAGAATTCTGAAAATAGTTTTCAATTTTTTACAAGTCTACTTGTAAACAGGCACGTGTTTATAATTTTGACGCTTTAGGTGAAGAATCCTATTTATATTAACACTCACCTCGAACGTAAAAAAAATTATCACCAGTAATTACTTATTTGTATACAAAAAGTTTGCAACAACTAACAAACAGCATTTAATATATTCTTATCAAACCACTGAAATATTCAGCTTTTTTCTTCATGAAATAATTAASAAATTTAAAACTTTAGAGATAAGAAGTACATTTTCAAATGGTTTTTAACGGCTTATTTTCTAGAAGCTTATTTACACCTGTACCACTACGCTTAATTTTTGGTCTACTCATTTTAATATGCTATTTATAATACATATTCAAATATTATAAGATTGTATCAAATAAAGTTCAACTGAATAGGTATTTTTTATATTGTATATTGAATTGTAGTTAATTGTTTGAAACCGRAAATTTAGCACGTTTGCAGAATGGGCTTTCCTAACTTGTTTTATAAATAAAATAATCTTGATTTTTAATGAAAACGTAAGTCTCTTGATTAACGAATATAGAAATAGGATTGCAGCCAGTAGATTGAGGACAGACACAGAATGCAGTCGCCTATAAATGTTCCCTAAAATGTATAATTACTTGAGATCGTCTTTATCGCAGTTTTGATTGTATTCCTCTATAATAAATTAATAACACGATCAACCAGATTTCAAGTCTATAAGTTAAAGGTTAATCCGAAAAGTGATATAAATATAAACCTATTAATATTATTATTACGTTGTATGTACCTGTGGGCTGTGACTTGTGAGGGTTACGGTCTCCGGACACGTGTGGTGTTCAGGTAAACGAGCAATTTGATAGTAGATATCATCCAGTGACTTATTGGGTTATGACGACAAAATCTACAGTGGTATTATCAATAACGGATCTCGATCGATAAGAGAATAAATTTTGAACAAAATAACCGTTAAGACGCATAGACGATAAAGAAATTACAAAAGAACGATTAACAAAACGAACGAAACGGACGCACGTTGTGAACTGATGTTTATTATTGTTTTGGCAAACCGGCGGCGGCCGGCGAGTGGAGACCGTCCAATAAAGGGTAGGGAGGGATACGCGACGAATGATTGACGGTAGTGGCGGCGACTACGAACACGAAGGCGGCAGAGCGCTACCTATATAATATTTTAACTGTAGGTAAAAATCCGTAGATTACTTTTCAGTTTTCGAATAAAAAATAACAATTAACAACGACAATATTAAATTTATAGTCGATAGGCTTACAAGTATAGGTATATAATATCAGTTCCTGAATTATTACCTACGCTTTACTATCATGTTAAACCTAATTAATAAATTCACAGTGTGGACATTAGAATATAAGACTTAATAATAATAYATTCATAATAATTATATTTTCAGAACATGTTCATAAACATCTAATAGATAATGAAATAACTGATAAGTAAAACCGAAAAATCACAGCAAAATCGTCAAAATCAAATATCAAAACATATATATTTCTAACACTTTACAAAACATCAAAATCGCAAAATATTAAATAACTCTAAAAAATATATACTCAAATAGTCACATATCATATTTATTACATTAATGTATTAATTAATGTCTATAATGTTCTTTWTTTTCTAGCTAACAATGTAAAAGGCAGTATAGATGCTTCTAATTTTTTTGTTTTTAAAATCAGTATAATAAGTAGATAAT